GGGGGGGGGGGACACTTATCTGCACTTGAGAGGCCTGTGATCAGTGGTATAACTGAGGGTGGCCAGCGTGGGGCTCCCAGAAAGGTGGAGGCCGGGCACCCTGAGGGCAGACCCCACCCGCCCGGTCTTGCTGCTCTTCTGCTTGTCCATCCAAGGTGACTGGAGCAGGGCAAGGGTGAGCAAGGCCCAAGGGTGCCGGCACCCACCTCCTCATTTGATGTCAACTGTGGCCTGAAATCAGCGTGCTGGAGGCAGGTGTGCTCTGGAAACACTGCTTCCTTTCCCCAGAGAGCTGTCGCCCAGTTGCCTGCCTTCAACGGCACCCCCGTCCACTGCACAGTCAGACTGGCACCTGGGCCTGCACCGCCGAGGCAGAGATGGGGCAGCCTCCCTGACCACAAGGGTCACCCGCCCCCAAAACTGCCACCCAGCCATCAGCCTGACCTTCCTGTGATCTGACCCAGTCCCCCACCCACCCCTTCAATCCCAGCCCAGTGAGATGGAAAGGGCTGTTCACGCAGCTCCTGCAGGAGGTCATGTGCCTCTGGCTCCCCTGCTCTGGGCACCAAGATGCCCTAGGGTGGGGCCTGGGCCACTGGGGGCCAGTTCTCCCTCCGCCATGATAAACCAGCTGGTAGACCACCCATCAGCTCCAGCTCTTGCTCTGGTTGGGGGCTGAGATCCGTGCATGACGCATGTTTGTGTGTGTCTCACTTAGTCCACACTTATTTATTGGGTACTGCCTCCCTGAGCACACAGGTCGGCACACAGGCAGCAGTGTGCATGTGGGAGATGGTGGCTTCATCCTCGCGTGTACCCAGTACCTGGGGTCAGCCTGGGAGCCGCTGCATCAGGCCCTTCAACAAGGCCCTGGAGGGACTTTGGAGAAAATTAGGAAGCCACACCTGTTGCTCTTGACCCTGGAAGGGACCTCAGCCAGGCTCTGGGCTTCTCCACCCAGCCTCCCTGAGGCGGGAGGAAACACGGGCTCCACCTGGCCTTCTCTGCTGAGTTCTACCCCTGCCAGGAACACGGCTACACCGAGCAGAGGATGCCAGCCCCTCTCTTCTCTGAGTGGGTGGGCATCTGCATATGTCGGCCGGTATGCACACACGTGTGCATGTCACCACGTGAGGCCCATGACCAGGGCTCTGCAGGCTGGCGGTCCCACACCCCTGTATGAGTTGAGGCAAACACTGTCCTGAGGAGGAGGCCTGCGGGGAGGAGTAGCCCAGCCCTGGAATCCAGTGCCCCAGGTCACGTGAGGGCAGGGTGGAGGCGCCCGTGGATGGTGCCCAGCTTCTCCTGCAGCACTGCGAAGGCCGGCCGCTCCTTGGGGCTGCCTTTCCAGCACGCCAGCATGAGCGCGTAGGCCTCGGCAGGGCAGGCGGCCGGGCGGGGCAGCCGGTACCCCCTTGCAATCTGCTGCAGCGTCTCGTGGTTGCTCATTCCTGGAGAGGAGGAGTCATTGTGGATCCCTCCCCCAGCCCTTGCCAGGCTCTGCCACAGGGACAGCCTGGAAGCCTCGTGCCCCTTCAGGGGTGAGGGACACCCAGGGCAGGGTGTGCTTGGCTGCTTACCTTCATAGGGACACTGGCCATAGGTGAACACCTCATAGAGCAGCACTCCGAAGGACCAGACATCCGACTTCTGGGAATACACACGGTAGTTGGCGGCCTCCGGCGCCGTCCACTTTACAGGGATCTTGGAGCCGCTACTCGGGGAGTAGACGTCGTCCTGGTGAAGGGACACCATGGTGGGATGGGTGAAGTGGGCCCTCCCCTCCCACCTGCTCCATGGCTTGGCAGGGTCAGCAGCACTGACCTTGAGCAGCCGGGCCAGGCCAAAGTCAGCCACTTTGCAGGCCAGGTTGTCGCTCACAAGCACGTTCCTGGCGGCCAGGTCTCGATGCACAATGCGCCGCCCCTCCAGGTAGCTCATGCCCTCAGCCACCTGGCAGGCAAAGCCCAGCAGGACAGGCAGGTTCAAGGTACGACCTTCAGGGCCTGCAGGGCAGCCAACCGTCAGGGGATGGGCCTCTTCCAGGTCACTACCCTCTGCGCCTCAGTTTCCTTGTTTGAGACAGGGTGCACCCTGTGCGGCTACAGTGACTGCTTGGGACAGGCTACTCCTTGGCAGCCTGGCCTGGGTCCTCAACAGAGACAAAGACAAAGAAGGGCCAAAGTGGGGAGAGGACACCGGGCTGGGCTGAGTCCATATTGACCTTGTTCAGGGGCTGGTGATGCAGACAGACCCACCCCACCTGCACTCTGCCCAGCCTGGACTCCAATGCTCTGACTGTCCCTCCACAAGGCCCAGACCAGGCACAGACCAGGGGCTCTGAACCCGCTCTTGGACCCCGCCCACCACAGCCCTCTGGGCCACAGAAAATCTAGCCTCCAGCAACAAGGCCTGGAGCCCATCAAAGGCCTGTGCCAGAGGGGGGCAGGTGTTGTTGTCCCTAGGCCAAGAGGTCATGTGCCCACAGACAGTCTGCCAGCAGGGCTTGGTACTCACTGCCCAGGAAGGCCTGCAGGTTGCCCTTGCGCATGAGCTCAGTGACAATGTACACAGGCTCGCCGGTGGAGCACACGGCATGCAGCTGGATGAGGCGCTCGTGCTGCAGGCTCTTGAGTGTCTGGATCTCCTTGGCGAGGTCAGCAAGCTTCATGTCAGCTGCAGGAGAGGGTGCAACTCCAGGACCCACCCATACCACCAAGGGCTGCCTGGGGCTCCAGGAGTCAGAGGCAGCAGGGCCTCACCCACCTGATTTGATGACCTTGATGGCCACGGGCACAGAGCTGAGCCACAGGCCTTCCCATACCTCCCCGAAGTAGCCTTCGCCCAGCTTCCTCTGCAAGGCGAACTCTGAGCGCGGCCGCTCCCACTCATCCTGCTCAGGGGGCTTCTGTGGGGGAGGGGGCATTCAGTGCCTCTGCCTGTGCCCAGGGCAGAGCCACACAGGGACGGGCCTCCGCCCTAGCACATATTCAATGCTGGCTCTGGCTGGAGCAAGGGGTGCCAGGTGCTGACCTCCCCTGGCCTAGCCCTGACTGCTTCCAGACTTAAGTGGGGCCTTTGCTGGGGGAGGACATCTGTCCACAAACACTCATTACTGCCCCAGTCAGGCTGTCATTATGGGACCAGAGGAACTGGGTCACAGCCCTGGCCCCTCGGCAAGACGGCCACTCTGGGATGGTGGTGGTGAACTGCAGCTCCAGCCCAGGTGTGGATCCTCGGGATCAGCATCTCTTCCCACAGCTTCTGCCCTGAGTCTGGGGCTACTGAGGGCATCTTCCCCAGACGTGCCCCAAACTCACCCCTGCCCTCCTCACTGCTGCCTGCAGTGCCTGGTATCTCCCATCCAGGACTCTCAGGTGAGAGCAGACCCAGCCTCGGGGCAGGGCCCCAACCAGAGTGTGGAGGGTTCACCAGGTGTGGGCTCTCGGGCCTCATCAGATCCCCGCTCACCCTCTGGGCAGTGTGTGAGGCCTAGTACGGGCTGGGCAGGTGGCAGAGCGGGGGCAGGCCCACCTGGGACACGCAGGGCTGCAGCAGCGGGTTCTGGATCAGCTTCCAGTTGGCCTTGTAGTACGTGAGCAGCTCCTCCAGGCTGGGGAAGAGACGGTCCTTCTGCAGGTAGAAGCTGCCGTCAGCCGCCGTGGAGATGCGGTAGTGGCGGACTTGAGCCTGGGCCCGGACTGGGAGGGTGCAGAGATGGAGGCTGTGTCCAGACTCTGCACCACCGCAGCCAGGAGACTGCCACCACCCTCCTGGGGCCTGAGACAGCCGGAGCCTCATGGAGGAGGAGGGAATGTGGGAAGCTACAGGCCGGAGGAGCGGACAGGGGCTGGAGTGGGCCCTTGCCAGCTGTGTACACAGAGCACAGAGTGGGTGCTCAGTGGGTGATGGCAAGTGAGAGAGTCCAAGAGGTGGATGGGGAAAGGACGAGATGAGCAGGTAAGCTCATGAACAAGAGGACGAACACTTGAAGCCACCAGCAGGGAGCGCTGTCAGGCCCTAGGTGGGGCTAGGCATGGGCAAGGACCCTGAAATCAGGAGTGTTCTAGCCTGGTGGCAGCTAAACAGGGTGCCCCACGGGGACAGGGGCATGAGGGGCCCTTGTACCTGACAGTGAGTAGTCTCCTTGGCTGCTCTCACTGGGCCGGACAAGGAAGGCCCCTGGAGCGTTGACCGGGGACAGGAGCAGCTGCTGGGCCTGGGTGCGGCTGATGCCGCTGAAGTACCAGCTGCTAAGGGAGAGTGTAGCAGTCACTAGGTAGGTCCAGCCCTAGTGCCCCCTGCCCCACACTGGTAGAGGCCCCATGTGCCCGCTCTGTGCCCCAAGCCCCGGCCCTCAGTGCTGGGCCTCCAGAGTTGTCAGAAGGACCTCTTGGGCCAGCATGGAACTGACAGACACCAGCAGTGACATTGTCAGTTGAGACTGTCCACTCGCCTCAGCCACAGGCTCTCCATTAGTCTTGCTCACAAAGTGACCACAGCCTTGGCCACAGGCTAACAGTTAGCCTGGCCACAGGCCAAACTTGCCGAACTCAAGAAAGCTGGGTCCCTGCGAGAGGTCCACTGGGAACCAGGGCACCTTGATGATGTCTGGGTGTATAGGCTGGGCTGCAGGTGTGGCCGGGGAGGACCATGGGTGCCACCTGGCTGGGCCTGGCCAACATACCTTGCGATGTCATAGGTGGTGTGGGAGAAGCAGCCTCAGTCCTGGAGCAGCTGGGAAGGCCCTAAAGGAGGTGGCCTGAGTCTGGCTGGGCAGGTGGTCAGGAGAGGCCGGGAGTGGGAGACTGGGGAGGCTCAAAGCATCCAGTGCCCACCTCTGAGGAGCCCTGCCCAGCACAGGCCAGCCTAAGCCCCCCACTCTCTGCATACAGAGCTGCTCCCGTGAAGACCACCCTAAGCACCAGGGTGGCAGGGGTCCCAAGCACCCGCTCCTCAGTCTGTATAGGATTCCCAAACACTAGGAACCCCCACATCTGAGCTTGGGGTGGGGCAGGGCCCACTCATCTCACACCCATCTGGGCCAGCACTCTACCTGGGTCAGGCCAGGTGTGGCTACTGGCGCCACTCCATCACCTGTGTCTATTCCCCAAAGCCCACATTGGGGAACCTCATACCATAGATAGCTTCCCTTCCTGGAGCCTCCTGATACCTGAGGTTCCTGGGGACTCAGTGGCAAGAGGCCTGCCCCCAAGGGGGCCACAGATGTTCAGGGGCAGCCTTATGAGCACAGCCCCTCGTCCATCCTAAGGGACAGCATAGGGACCTGGCTCTCAGACCACCTGGAGGGCCCAAAGCATGACTCAAAGCAAGTCAACATAAGGTGGGGTGCCCTGGAAAAGATGGGATCAAGTGGGCACAGCTGTGTAGGTGGGTGCTGCTGGAGCCAGAGGTGAAGACAGGACCTGGCAGGAGGAGACAGAGACAGACCTGTGCCCACCCTGGGGAGCTGTGGGGAGGGGGCTGAAAACCAATGTGGCCAGAGCCATGGGGCTAGACTGGGATGGACAGGGAGCAAATCAGAGACAGAAGAGGTGGAGTGCTGGTGGGTAGAAAGACAGAGGCCTGGGAAATACTGGGAGATAGCATCAGTAGGCAGGACAGGCGGGGAAGAGTCGAGGACCCGTGGGTGGACCTTACATGGGTCCCCAGAGACAATATGTGGTGGGGCAGCAAGCTCAGGAACACCTTGATTGGGGAACAGGAGGTAGAGCCTTGAGGCTGTCAGACTATGTCCACACCCACCGAGGGCCTTCTGCAGCCAGGCCTGCCTTCTGGGGCCTGCCAGCCAGGGAGAACGTCTCAGATGTGAAGGGGCTACAGCGGGCCTTCCCAGGACAGCAGGGCCTGGTGGGACCAGGAGAAGCAGAGGCTTCCCCATCCCAGCCCTCCCCTGTAGCCACAGGGCCTGGAGTAAAAGCTAAGATCCTGTGCACACCCTGGGCTGCAGAGATGTTCTCTGGGTCCCCCCCTGGGGCGTGGGGCCGTGGGCGAAGTAAGATTGTAGAGGGGCCCTCAACAGCTTGGGAGCAATGAGGCCTCACCGTGGAGGTTGAGGGCCAGGCCCACCAAGCTGGTCTGGCCCAGGGACAGGTGTCTGGGGTTAATGACCCTGTGAGTGTGGTCAGCCCTTTGATCTCCAACCCAAGCAAATAGTCATTAGCTCTTCCTCTTGGCAGCCCCTCCCCACCCCCAAGCGCTGCCAGCCTTTCCCAGGAGTGGCTCTGGCTTTGCCCTCCACACCCACAGTGACTGTGTGCCCTCTCTATTGGAGTGGCCGCTCGGTCCCAGGCGTGGGATGGGGCCAGAAGGCACCTTCCTGTCACTCAGGCTTCCCCCCAATCTGCAAATCCCCCAAGAAACTGGAAATGGCCTGAGTGAGGCTGAGACCCAATGCCGGTCTACAAGGACATGTCCAGGACTCAGGCCTGGCCCGTGTCTGAGTGAGGTCTGCACAACCTGCTCACCGAGCAGCTTCTGGCCTGACCTCACCCAGCACACCACCTCCATGCAAGTTGGGGCTGGGAGGAAGCAACTCTGCCCCGTGTGCCCTAGCAGCCCCCCATCCATCTAGACATCAGAGGTTGCAATGGCCACCACAGCTAAAGACCCCCTGCATTCAGGGGAAAGATGGGTTGGGATTGTGTCCAGGATTTGGGTGCAATGCTTGAGGCCCATTGACCCTGTCCGCCACCATATGGCAGGGCGCTGCTCAGAGCTGGCACACAGCTATTCCAGGAGACCACCCTGTCCTATGGACCTGGAGCTTGAGCTGAGAGGTCACCTCCTCTAAGAAGCCCTCCTGGAGAGCCCCCACCCTCTTCTTCCTCTCATGATGACTGGCGT